CCCATATCTTTGCCGGTAACAGTAAATATAGCTTTTGTGAAGACATTTGTAGAAATTAGCATATGATGCCATAATCCACTGCCTAAAATATAAGAATATAAACAAAAAACATAATATGTAATAAGTTAATTAACTGAATTTTACCAATTTTTGTGTAGAAGCATTCGTAGCCAAAGCTAATTGTTGTTAAACACTTGCAGCAGTAATTCTTGACCAATCCGATGTTCCAACATTCTAATGACTAAATGAGCCTTTTTTCTCATTGCCTAAAAAATGCATTAACAAAATGCATCCAACTTAATAAAAATGCATGTGATCATATACCTGTATATACTTTGGTGACATAGTATGCAGACTTCTGGTAGGGAAATGGTGTACATTCTGCCCATTATTTTGAGCCACTGTAGCATGGTGACTGCCTCCTCGTCCTTGGGGCCCACCTGCACCTGTTACAGGAGATGTGCCAGAGGCAGCGGCAACAGGAAGCGGTGCAGGGGCTTGGCTGGGATCCAAAACTATACCACCATACTGTTCTTCATAAGCCACAACCTAAAAGCAAGAACAATGTAAAATAATAATATATCAAAGTAATACAACAATAATATCTGTTACTTACATCCAACAATTCCTGTCTCACCCACTCTCTGTAATCATTATTTCCAAAACATTTCTTCGAGTACAACCCACATAGATATTCAGCAATTCCTTTATTGAGCCAGGTGTCAGACCAGCTCTGCATTGTAATGAAGCAGCCAAAGAATTGTTCAGCTATTGCTTGAGACATTGCTTTCCTGGTTATATAAGTTTGATCAATTATAGCAATGGAATGAAGCAAATGAGTACTCAGAATGCTCATGGTAGTGTAGGCAGCTACATCTTGAACAGTCTAAAAAAAATAAAAGGGGATTAATTTTACAATCTATAAATTAAATTAAATTCTAAAGAAACTTTACTCACCTCATCAACAAAAACTTGCTTATAACAAGGATATGGATATCTGGTAGCTAAATTTCCTCATAAAACTCAAAAGCTTCATGCATATATCGAACAGAGTTCTTCAATAATGGCATTAGTTGTGGTAGCAAAAGTGGGTCACTTCGTGCATATGGGGTCCACATAAGTTTCAAAAGGTCTAGAATGAAAAAAAGCACAAAGTTATTGATAAATCATACAATACTGATGCTCTAGTTCATACCCAACAGCTAAAGCAATATTAGGAGCACAAGCAGGAGTAATTTAAACATAATGGTAAGTCTTCCTCCTCATATCAGGCGTCCATAGTAATTTCTACAAGATCACCACAAGAGACAGCTGTCATTGCTGCGTCAACAGTGAACTCAAGACTCCAAGTACAAGGCTCGGCATAAGAATCCACGCAAGGAAACCAGAGTCTTGATGAGTTTTCATGTGCATAGGTGTACATATGAGCTGCCCTCTAAAAAAACAATCATAAAATACTGCCCGTTATATTGTGATTTTCTTTTCACCAAACCTCTTCCATGGTGCCTTCAGTTTCAGGCACAACAAAATGCAAGCCACCTTGAGGTTGCTCTAAAGAAAATTCTATTCCAACTCTTAAACCTCTACCTTCACCAATGATGGCTTGCTTCATGGGGCACATTGATATAATTCTCCTGCATTACAATCAGGAT